TATTCACGGAAGGTTAAAATTAACACAGCCGGGCCGTGCGCGAAATTAGACAGTTCAACTTTGCGTGAGTTATTTATCGCGGTTTTGCGATGTGGGAATAAGTTGACTGCATGAATTTACTTTTGAATACATTCTCCAGAATGGTCATCGATCAAATTTTTAAGTTTTTCATTATAAAGGTAACAAAATAAGGTTTTAAACGAGCTTTGCAATCTATCCCACCGCTGACCAGCCCCTTTGTCAGAAAAAACAGTGATCTTTCAGAAGCTACCATGGACGAACGGAACGGAATAATGACTTCATTTTCCATCACATACTAAGAAATATGTCAAGTAAAAATGGTCTTTCAAAAAAATTGAATATCCATCGGTAGTTCAGCGTCCAAAGCAGTTTGTTTACAAACTAGTCGTTCCAGCTCCAGATTGAAATTGTATCTGGAGCTGGCTCCAGATTCGCCAATCTGGAGCTGCCAATATGGAGCTGTCTGGCTCCTCATCATTAGCGAAGTCTAAAGTTCATCAATGAGCGCGGGCGTCGGTCACCAACGATGGGTGGTCATCCTCACTGATCTCAAAAATATGGCGGACTGTCATGAATAACGGACACTGATTGGTCCAATTCAAAGTTTGCATTATAACGACTACATGACGAACAGACGAACAAACAATAGCAAACATTTCTTGATTTGATGATTGATAAATTTCTTGCAAATATATTTCATTTTTGCTCGTATTTCTGAAAGAAAGAAAGAAAGAAAGAAAGGGCGAAAGAATCGGCTAAAAGAAGGGAGCCGACGTTAATGAAGGTAAGTTTGTTTTAAATATTGATTTTATAATGATTTAAAACCCGACGGCCTTTGCGTATATGAAACAACTAAATAAGACAGCATATAATTTCAGTGTAGCTCTAATATTGATTCCCTTTTTTGTTATATTGAATTTTTTAAATAGAAAAGCCATTTAATTAAATTAAAGGCAGTTTAAAGTTTTATAAAGAACACTTTAAAACGTTTTACGAAGCGTTTGTGGTTGAATTTTACATTAAATCGAGGCTTATATTACGTATAATAACATACCTAACATATATATGTTGGGAAATTGATAATTTTGTAATTAAAAATGATATTTTTATGCGATTTTTCATTTGTAAGAATATTCTTAAAAAAAATATCGTGTTACCATGACAACTACTTTAGATACTTCATGAACGGAAAATACAATGATTTTGTCAGCAAGGCGAGGGTTTCTGCATGCATGTATTTTCTAGTATTATTATAAAAGGACTGGCGATATCTGCAAGAATTTCTGAGGTAAACGTTCAACCTCGTTCCTAGGGCTTTCGTGTGAGGACGAGGCGAGAGACGAGAACACCTTGGTGACCGACGCCCGCGCTCATTGATGAACTTTAGACTTGGCTAATGCTTTCGTTTCCCCGGGTGTAAATAGCCGGGGGGAATTAGTATCCTCGCCCGGGCGTACGTTGGCTCGGGAATTATCAAACGGAGCGGTTCTCATACACTCGTTTTTGTGGGTAGCCGCGCATGCGCAGCTAACCACTATGCGAGAGACTGAAGCGCGATCTTCCGTTTCTCTGTGGCTCTGTAGCCTTCGTGTCCGCGGTGTCCTGCTGCGCGGTTCCTTTTATCCTTGAAATACGAACCGTCTATAGATCACAGGCTAAGTTCACGCTCATACCGTACAGAGATGTGTATAAATTCTTAGTAAAGTCTTTATTGTAATATGTTTTGTCAGGTCGATAGTCATTTCCAACGCATATAGAATCGAATATGTCATTGTTTTTATAATCACTGCTTGTACAAGGGTCATTGGGATTAATATTAGCGCACGGGGTCTGTTTTATATCGTGTAATGTCATATTTAAACACGACATATCAGTTTGATCAAACATTTTATACGTATTAGAAAAATATAGTAATTAATGATATAGCGCGCGACGATTGGACATATTTACGTTAGTCTATATCGAAGGAATGTTGACGAATGACGAACATATAGGTATATAGAATCGAGTGTTGGAGATTGTCAATATTTAATATTTAACAGTTTATGGCATACCTGAAGTTAATTAATGCGCAAGTGTCAATCAAAAAGCATGCGGTTTGTACATTGCAAGAACTTTGTGATTGTGTTGAGACGGGGCGAGAATAAATATATTTTTCATAAAAGCGTTTGAAATCTCTACTTTTTAGTTTTGAAATCTCTACGGCAATTCACGACACAGTGGCACCTCCGAACGGGATTAATTGTGAGTTAGCTCGAATCAAGAGCAAAAAACCCGTGCTTGTTGTGAAGAATCGACATTGTGAAATAATATATTTTATATATTCTCGAGTATAACATGGATAAACAACTAAACGAACTCGCGAGCAAAGTAAAAGCCCTGAGATTTAGGCAAGGAAAAACCGAAGAAATAATGGCTAAACGTGACCGGCAAGCGTCTGAGCGTCAGCAAGAATCTATTGACAATGTCACCAAAGCGATAATCAATCTTAAAGAGACCATTGAAAAAATTAAATTTTCCAAGGGCGAGAGCGAAGAAGACGTCGCAGAATGGGCTAAAGAATACGAAGACGAACTTGCTATAGCGGATGAAAATGTACGAAGATTGGCTCAACAAATTAAAGAAATCGATCGCCGAGAACAACACGAGAAGGCAGTGCAAGATCATAAGAAAAACCTTGAATTTGAGCGAGAATTACTCGAGCAAAAAGCTGAATTTGAGAAAGAACGCGAGAAAGAAAAAGCAAGCGAAGCAGAAAATAGCGAACAATGTAAACAAAATTCTGCTGCCAAATTACCGAAGTTACCTATAACGAAATTTGACGGCAAATTCGAATCATGGCTACCGTTTTGGGGAAAATTTACGTCGGAAATCGAATCAACGAAAATACCAATCTTAACGAAGTTTGTCTACTTAAAAGAATTACTTGATGAGTCTGTACGTTGTGACATTGACGGCCTGCCATTTACCGAAGAGGGATACTCAAAAGCCAAAGATATTCTCGAAACCGAATACAGACAGTCAGCTGAAGTTGCGAACGCATACATAGTAAATATCACCAATCTACCGGTAATTTCCTGTTAGGTCGCACCGTTTGCAAGGTCTAACGCCATTGGCTAGAGCATGTTAATTGGTGGTCGTGGTGGTCGACGAATCACAGAATCACTTTAGAGGCCTTTCTTACTTCCGTTTGAATCTCGCTTCGAGACTCGAGAAAGATCGAGTGCGATGAATAAATTCATGAGTTAAATATATAATATCCGCGGCAATTGCCTGTTTGTAAATATAACAACTGAGTTGCGAAGAATATTTTATGAGTTAAATCGATACAATATCAATTAAATCGATACAAAATCACTTCCCAAAACGAAATCATATTGCTATTGAATAGACACATGATATCAGTATCACT